TATATATATATATATATTGTTCTTAATATATGTTGTTTGTATATCTGGAGTTTGTAATGAAAATAATTTCCCCCTGGGATTATTAAAGTATTTCTGATTCTGATTCTGATTCTTTCATTTGTTTGTTTGTTGAAGAACCTCTGACTACATGCACCCTTCGAAAGAGTAATGATAATTCACTGTATCACGCATCTTTTAGCCTTAATATGTTCTGCTGTAACTATCCCTACAGCTCCGAGCACACTTACTACTGCTACTCCCACTGCAACTCCTGCTGGAATTCCAGCTGAGCTCCCAACAAAGTGAGATACTGCTCCTCCGAGACCGGCTCCAGCTAAAGCAGAGCCATTAACAGAGAGTGTGATTCTCTTCCAAACTCCAGAACCTTTTCCTTTTTTCTCAACCTCCTTCAACATTTTAGCGGTGTAGTACTTCCCTCTATTTTTCTGAACCATGATGTTGATCACCTGCAGAAGCTTGGTGACTTGAGATGGACTCTGATCTTCATTCTCAATATCATGGGATCCCCCATTACAGTTATCGACAAAGTTTTTGAGATCATTGTTTTCTTCAATGAACTCTTGTATTGTTTTCCCGTTGTTCTTCAGTTCGTCTCCATGGGTGAACAAAGCCATAGTGTAACATGTAACAGTTTCGCCAAAGGTCTTCTTGATAATGTCCACAGCATCTTGGTCTTCTTTTGTAAATCTCTCCAAACAGGAAAGCACAAATAGGAACACATGAAGACCAGGCGTAGCAAGTGAGACACATTGCTTGATCTCCTCCATCACCTCTTCGTCTGTTTTTTCCGTGCTACATAGACCAGGAGTGTCAACAACAACCACCGGTTGTCCTCTGATCTTTACTTTACCCCTCTGACAAGCGTTCTCTGTATCAGGGAGAAAACATGGTTTGACCTTTCAAGGTCGGTTTCTCATTTTCATCCTGAGCTTCTGCCAGGAGAGTCGTTCATGACTGAAGTCTTTCCCAGCTCCAACGAGCTTCCCAACGAATGCACATATTCTCCTCGCTCTGAATGCTATGTTTGGGAAATATTGACAGCAGAGAATGGTGGGAAAAAAATCTCCTAATGGCCAGTAAAACCAAATACCACGTGTGAAATACTATTACATAGTAAACTCCTGCACTCCCAAACGTTTACTTAAGTTTAAATTAAACGACTTTGTTGATAACTGTAGCCACTGTGTTTTAAACTGGATAGTGGGGATCGAGTGCTGAAATAACAGAAGATCTGCACTATTGTATAAACTTAATCCACCGTTATCCACCCCAACCTCTGACGCTGACCCAGCCTGAGCTCTGGATGCAGGTTTTTTTTTGGGGGTTTATTCTGCTTCCTAAAGTAGAGATAATGTATGTAATTTCAAACATTTACGTGTTGATATAATTTGAAGTTTGGAACAATTTCATTTCAGTTCGTTATTGACTTAGCTTTGGTTGTAATACGCGACTAAAGTCAATATGTGGCAGCAAGGACATTTGGCAGCCCAACCAGTGACTGTTTGGCCTATTGTTTCCCGCGTCATTCTGAAGCAAGGACCGAACATGCACATAATATTTAGTTTTTTGCTTGTTATATGGAGTTCCCCGAAAGATTCACTCCCCCATGATCCTGCTTCTATTTAAAAACAATGATTCCAATTAGACCCGACATTAGATCATAATTATGGCAGACAACACGCCAAATTTAGCATTGCTTGTGGCCACCAAGTAACAGTCAAGTGGTAGTTTGTAATTGGTGTTTTGTAATGGTGTTTTTGGACGAGGCCACGTGACCATAATGCACACCGATTGGCCAATTTTTTTGATTTATATATCCCATTATCAAGATAATTGTGGATGGATATGATTGTGGTATTTCTATTGTCTTAACCTTTGAGATTCTTTTAATGTTTCATACGCTATTTAAATGTTGTAACGTGTTTCATGATGATGGTGAAAGTCATAAGCTGAAACAGCACTCGGTTAAGCAATGAAGATGTTCTATATTACTACAACCTGTTGCTGGAAGTTTTGGATCCGTTTTGTTGTAGAAAAAGGGAAGGTTTGAATGTCTGCATCTGCGACTCTCCTGAAAATAAAACTGATTGTACCATCTTAAAAACGATACCAAAAATCAGAGGAATTTATCTCCAGACTGAGAAACTAATCCAAGGTACTTCATTTCCAGGTTAGAATTACAAGTAGTGGTCTTTTCAGGTTTAGCCCAAAAAACTGTCAGACAGCTTTTACTGCTGCTGCCTTAACAAAAGAACCAAGCACGGAAAATTCAATACATCCCCAGCAGTTCTCAGGTCTCTGCACTGGGTTTTACTGAATGTGTTCAGACAAGAATAAAGCTTGAAGTGCTTCTGCTTGTATTTTAAAAAGATCTCAGTGGTTTAGGCATATAAAAAAATGTCCAATTCTCCGAGCAATCTCTTAATGGCAGCAAATGTTGAAAATTGTCCAACCTACAAATACTTGGCCTACGCTGGTGTTTGATGACGCCCAGGCAGATTATTTATTGAAAATACAGACGTCATTCTTGTGAAAAAGACTTTGTTCCTTTCCCCCCTGCCTGGCATAAACTAAAAACTCCTAAAGAATTGTATCTAATCTCTTTGTCAAAAGAATTATTGGTAAAATAACACAAACATTGCTGGTAAAGCTTTAATCCCCTAATAGTCCTCAAGAAAAGCATCATAGATTTTAAGCTGAAGCTGCTGGCCATCTAGAGAAAAGCACTTTAGACTGGCTTGCATATAAAACAAATGGAAGGAAAAAGTCCAGTAAAGCCATCAGACTTTGAAGTTACAACACAAGGATTTGACATATTTTTGTCTACTTGTAGTTTAGATTATTATTATTATCTCTCTTTTGTGTGTGTTAGTCGAGATGAATCGTATTTCTGTTGTACATGGGCCGGCTTTACCTCCACTCCTCAAATTGCCTGAAGGACGAATAAGTATTTTTAAATTAAAAATGGAAAAAGAAAACATCTCTTTAGCATTTAACAAGTAAAAAAGTAATTTCTGTCTCTGTCTTCATTTATTTAATTTCCCTTTTAAAATGTCTTGCAAAAGTAAAACTTGATTAATATGCTATACACAACTTGCCCTCCACCATAAACAAGGGTTATTTTAACTGATGTCATTATGTCATCCGTCAATTCATTCATCACATCTCATTTTAAACCTGTTTTTTCTTTGACTAAAAGCCAACACACAGGTCAGGTTTTTTATCCCAAAATGTAAAGTTATTTTATGTTGTTTTTGTGAAGGTCATAAAAGACAATACAGAGTATGTAGTTTTATATATTAATAAAAAAAAACATATAAGTTATGTATAATACGAAGATAATGGTTTTTGTACAGACTAAGAGCGCGATGTTTAGTCATTGTTTTAGAATGGAGGGTAATACTTCTTTTTAACTGAGACTTGGCAAACATGAGTTATGTATAAAATGATTATTTGTGCC